TATAGAAGATTTGGAAGCCGCTCTTGCCAGTCTTAGGGCTTCAACAACTGAAAGCAAGGCAGTCTCGGTTGAATGTCCACTTCTGAAGCCAGATTGGTTGCTGTCCAGGAGGTTGTTCTGTGTGAGAAAGGCTGAGAGTTGGTTGAACACAAGTCGTTCAAGCATTTTTTGCAATGAAAGGTAGAAGGGAAACTGGTCTGTAGTTCTCTAAAAGAGTTGGGGAAACCGGTCTGTAGTTCTTTAAAAGAGTTGGGTTAATAGTGGGTTTCTTAAGAAGAGGGGTTATACAGGCCGGTTTAAATGTTGAGGGAAACACACCAGTGTGAAGAGATGTGTTAATGATGTGAGTGAGTGCTGGTACAACGGCAGGAGAAATGGCTTGAAGGAGATGAGATGGAATAGGATCAAGCGGACAAGTAGTAGGATGATTGGAAAGGATGAGTTTAGAGACTTCTGCCTCAGAGAGTGGAGAGAAGGATGAAAATGAGTGTATGCTTGCTGGTAAGATGTGTTTGACAGTTTGTGGTGTGGCAAATTGTGCACTGAGGTTTGTAATTTTATTAATGAAGAATGTGGCAAAGTCGTCAGCTGTTAGAGTTGATGAAGGAGGGGGAGGAGGAGGACAAAGAAGGGAGGAAAATGTTTTAAAGAGCATAGTTAGGCGAATTCTTAATTTTGTTGTGATAGTATGTCCTTTTAGCAGTGGAGACATTAGCAGTGAATGAAGAGAGGAGTGATAGATATACATATAAGGTCAGTAGGATTTTGTGATTTGTGCCATACTCTTTCTACAGCTCTGAGCTTAGAACGATGCTCACAGATAGACAGTTCTAGCTGTCTCACAGCTGTCTCACTCAGTCTCAGTGCTAGCCCTCACTCTCTAGACCAGTGGTTCCCAAACCTGTCCTGGAGGACCCCCTACCCTGCACATTTTGTATGTCTCCCTAATCAGACACACCCAATTTAGTTCTTGCAGTCTCTACTAACAAGCTAATGAGTGGAATCAGGTGTGTTAGATAAGGGAGACATACAAAAGGTGCAGGGCAGGGGGGCCTCCAGGACAGGTTTGGCACAAACCATAAAGTGCAAAAGTACAAAAGTACAAAACGATACATAAAGCTTATTTTTTTGTTAGTAAAATACATTTTAATAAACAAATTTTCACTTCTGACACTGAACCAGAATCTGGCTCTGCATGACTAAAGGCCATGACATCGATGATGACTCAAGTTCGGCAGCTGTACCTCATTTTCCTAGTGAGCAATTTCAATATTCTACTCTATGAAATAATACTGATTTCTCGTGTTACTACGACAAAGAAATGTATACAGAGAGATAGAGAAAATAATCGAACATTCTCTAAAATATATTTTTGTTTTGTGAAAATACAAACTCACACAGGTGTGTAATGACATTAGAATGAGTAAATGATGACATAATTTTAATTTTTGGGTGGATTAGGGTGGCCCCTGACTAAATATTTTTCAAGTCAACTAATAGTCGCACGTTTATATTAATTTAATGAAATAACTATATGGTGGTGATGAACTAAACCAAAATGTGCTCAAGCACATGCATAAAGCTTGACACAAAGCACCAGCAAAAGTAATGACTATGTGTTGGGAAAAATAGCAAGGAGATATTATAATTATTCATTAATAAACTAGTGCTTTCTCAGCCAGTGTGTTTGCTGCAAAGATGAAGTGAATGATGACTCGCCATCGCCGCAGTACAGTGGACACGCCTTGAGAGAAATGTACCTTTCATACGGAATACATAATCAGAGAGTATGAATTGGTTTATTTCAAAGTAGACATTTCAAGTTTTCTGTAAATATATTTCTTATGTTTTTGAGGCAGTTAGCCTATATGCTGAGTTTCAGCATGGTTGAGTTTTGTGCCATGCTCAAGTACACGAAGACAGCAGAAAGTGTGCCCTCTTTGTTTTCTTTACAAAAGCGCAACGTCTTGTTGATTTTGTGAGTGTATACAAACAAAAATAGACCCTTGACTGTTTCGAATGATTTATTACTCCTATCTGTATGAGCAAAAATGTAGTAATTTGTTTCCACTGTAATCGGGAAAAAAATACCAATGCGCCTCCATGTCATGCAATAAGCGTGCTGATAGTTTCCACACAAACACTTGGTTATGCACCTAATAACGCACATTTATCTAGGGTGACTTTAGAGCGAATGGCTGTATAAAGTTGCTAATACTTACATGTTTAAATTTCAAAGCCATATTTGAGGTTGGTGAATGATATGCGAATGTTTGGATATTTTGCCTGATATACTATAATTATGTCAAGGACCAGCCGTTAACGATCTGTCCCGACCAATAAAATTGTAGCCAACTAAGCCTCTTCTAGGCAGCCCTAGGGTGGACTATCCCTTTATGCAGACTGCTTGTCCATTGTTGTTATCTAGTTAAGTGTCAATTCTATGACCATTTTATGCACAAACTTAGGAAAATCCAAAATGCTTACTTAAGTTTTGCTGCAACTGTATGCCATGTTGTTATTTGTGTGTCATTTTCTTTTGCTGCAGTTTAGTTTTATCAATAGTTGAAAGGCAAATGACTATTAAGGCCTGTCTTAGCACAACAGGTTAGTTGCTGACTCCCCGTGGCCGTGCATTAGCTAGTAAGTTTATTTGTGCACTGTAGACACTTTGGTAGGGAAGTGCTTGCTAAGACTTCAAAAGTAATAATAATAACATTGTACATAATTTTGTAATGATATAGGATTCATATTGTATATCAATGGATAAATGTGGGGCCTGACATATTAGCAGGAATATGGCTGGAAACTTTAAATGGACAAATGCTGCATACAGTTCTACCTGTGGTCATAGATTGTCATAGACATGCAATAATTTTAACTTCAGAGAAAAGTAGCCTTTGGAGAGCTTGTTAAAAGTGTTTTCAGAAATTGTGATCAAGGCAATTACCATGAGACCGGTATCCATATATAGCAAACCAAATCAAACATTTACAAAGCACAATGGGAAACATACAATCGGAGAACATGGTAAGATTTCAACCGTCTTGCAAAAAAATAAAATAAATAAATAAATACTGATGTTAGAGGATATTTCCACAGTGTGCAGCTAAGAATTACATTATAGTTTATTTGTTTGTTTGTTTTTCTCATCTACATAATTTATGACAGTTAACACTAATGCAATTTTCATGCATAAGTCTTCCAATAATGCAATAATAATAATAATAATAATAACATAATAGCATAATAACTGCATATCATTCCAGATGCAGCCACCGCTGGAGAATGAGTCCAGTGTCTTAGTATTTACACTCTCTGGTCTGAATGAAACAATGGAAAACAGATATGTGATTTTTTCTTTAACAGCACTGTTTTATCCCCTAATGGTGTTGTGTAATCTAATTGTAATTTTCACTATAATATCACAAAACACACTTCATGAGCCAATGTATGTTTTTATATGTAATTTGTGTATAAACGCACTTTATGGCACTGCTGGATTCTACCCTAAATTTATGTATGATTTATTAGCTGAAGATCATGTGATTTCTTATGTTGGATGTATGATTCAGATATTTGTTATTTATTCATCTGTTTTATGTGACCTTTCAACATTAACAGTGATGGCATATGATAGATATGTGGCAATATGTAGACCACTGGAGTATCATTCAATAATGACCAACCAGAGAGTTCTTGAATGGATCCTTTTCTGCTGGCTGACTCCAATTTTTTGCATGTCTGTTCTAATTGTATTAACAGCTAGACTCACTTTATGTGGCTCTACTATTGAAAAGTTGTATTGTGAGATTTGGGCAGTTGCAAAACTTTCGTGTTTTTCTACAACAGTAAATAACGTGTTTGGGTACATTGTTATTATGGGATACTTTGGACATGCAGTATTGATATATTGCTCATATATTCAATTGATTAGAATGTGCATAAAGTCAATAGAGGTCAGGCACAAATTCATGCAAACATGTGTGCCACATCTGCTCTCATTGTTCATTGTGGCTATTGCATTGTTTTTTGATGTACTGTACAGTCGTTATGGCTCAAAGAATGTGCCACAAGGTGTGCGCAATTTCATGGCATTGGAATTCCTACTCATAACACCCATTTTAAACCCCCTTATTTATGGACTAAATCTGTCAACAGTACGGCAACAGCTTATTAGATTGTTTTTCAAGAAACAAGTGGGAATAGCTGAGTGAATACTCAGTCAAAATATTATTCTGTCCTTGTCTGTGGCCTTTAACATTCTAAGGCAAGATTTGTTGAGCTTTTAAAAATATTTATTTGACTGTTGTTGTTAATTGTCAAACTGTTGTTGTTACATATAAGGTAATAAACCACAAGAGGTTGTGTGTACGAGTTTTACTTTGATTGAGGTGTGTTCAGTCTTAGGTATGAGGTGAAATGGAATGACTAAACCACAATAAAATCTGTACAGCTTTGACTTACCTATTGCTTTTTATAAAATGGTGCTAACAGTAATATGTTAATAGACACAGAGAAAATAGCTATATTAAAATCACAGACAATTCTTCTGCCAGTAATATTTGTATGGTCACACTTTAGTTTGGGGACCAATTCTTACTACGAACTATTAACTATGAATACTGACTTTATATATTGATCATACATATATGGAAATATATTTTCTTGATGTAAAGAATAGGCTTATTCATTTAAACACAAAAAAGTCCTTCAGAACAATATAGCCCACAAAAGTCTGATACAAAGTCCTTTAGGGATTGAGTACACTAAAACAGATGCATTATTTAAACTGTATCTGAACAAATATATATATAAAAAAAACATTACAGACAGTGTGTGCAGACACTCTAATAAATGTGTTTTGGCTTATACACTTTGCCGTTTTGTGCAATCTTTGTGTCAGGGTACTTCTATATAGAGCTCACTCACAAAGGCACAAGAGGCAAGAGTCCAAGGAAAGTAATCTTTAATCCACAAACTGAGAAACAGATAGTCACAGGAGACTGCAATGGCGTGACTAAACACACAACTAAACACGACTAACACCAGACAAAGAAAGAGGAGCAACTAAGAGAATAATTTTTATCATACTGTATATCATCCATTTTTTATTTTTATTTTTATTTATTTTTTTACATAGAATTGTTTAATGTCTTCTATCACATTATGAAGGTGGTGGTTATAAATGCTGGTGATTTAATTCCTGTACCCACCGTGTTTAAACCAAAATTGTTACAAATGATGTTACAACTGTACAACCATCACCAGTCTCCCCTGTATGAACCTACTTTTGCCCTTTCTGTTCCACTGGTTGTTTCTGTCATCCTTAAAGGGGTCATATGATGCTGCTAAAAAGAACATTATTTGGTGTATTTGGGGTAATGAAATGTGTTCATGTGGTTTAAGGTTCAAAAAACATTATTTTCCACATACTATACATTATTGTTTCTCCTCTATGCCCCGCCTTTCTGAAATGCATCGATTTTTACAAAGCTCATCGTTTTAAAAAAGCGAGGTGTGCTGTGATTGGCCGCTTGACCTTAGTTTAAGTTGTACTCAGTTACGGTAACCATGTATATGATTTCAGAATTAATTAAGTTGTACGTGGTTATACTAACTATCGGGGTCTAGACTAAGGGTCTAGAAGAACTGCTGATTAATGTCTGAGCATTACATGGATAACTGTAGGGGGCTAAACAAACCTACAATTTAAAGTATATTAAATAGTATTAGCCATAAACCTCTGAATAAGGATCAAGTTCGGTGATTGTCTATAACTCCTTTGTGATGTTTGCAGCTGTAGAAACCTCCTGAGGGCTGTTTTCATATGCAGAACATTCAGTCTCAGCAGGTGTGTGTTGCTTGAATTCAGCAAGTGGATGGACGGGTTCAGGGTTTTACCTGTCTGATTGAGAACAACCCATGCGCATAGTTCATTGAATCAATCCAGGCCTTTTTCGCTTGACGTCTCTTTCCATTAGATTAATTGGTGTTTTTATCACCCATGTCATCATGAACTCCAATGGACCAATGTCCATGGCTTTAGTTGCAGTTGATCTCATTACAGTCAGATCTGTGGGCGGAAATGTGTTCACCTGTTTCGGTGTTGTCTGTTTGGCAAATGTTGTTTTATGGTGTTGTTCACACATGCAGATCTCTGTGACACATAAAGACATCTGTTTTTTTGGTCTGATGTTTAGTATTTTACACCCCCCTTTCATTATTTTTCAAGTAAATTTAAAAGATCAAATAGGGCTGTGTGGCTGCATTTTCGACCGTGGCTTTTTTGTAAAAACAGTCATGCTCCAAACAAAGGAAGGAAGTTTTACAATTGTGATGTAAATTTGGTCCTGTTGCTGTAAACGGTAACCAGCCTCAGAATGCGAGTATGAGGTGAGATCTGGATCAAAATACTTTCATTTTTTAAGGAGCAAGATTAGGTGCAAATTCAGAGCTTCTGAATTCTGCATTGAAATTTGGATGTTTCAATTTCCAAATAATGTTAGCCACTCTCTCTGGTCAGATAACATTTTTAGTTTGTGCTCCTCAGTGAAGGATGAATTGGTTCGCTATCTCTGGTGCCACATTATTGAAATGAAAACACACCTCCACCTCCTCCCTTTTGGGCACTGGGTAGCAGACCAATTTTAATTATAAGGGTTAGCAAATCACATTTCTCTATGTAATGCCATGCTTGGCGATTATAATATAATGTACATTATAATTTGATTTATAATATAATTATATTATATTAAAATAGTATATATTAAAATAATATTATTTCTGGTCTCTGGAGAGTCTTTGGAATAATATAGTCACCAATGTGCTCGTCTTTGAGAAGACCTTGTGATTTGGCCCTGTAGTCACAGTAGTACACACATGTACATTGTATGTATAACAACTAGTCCGTCTTAAAGCCAATGAGAGACTCTGAAGTTGTTAACATCCAATGACTGCAGGCATATTTGGAGTACATAGTCAAATCACAACTCATGTGAGAAATTTTCCGTCTGCAATAAGGTCTAAGTTGTCACAAATTGCATTCTCATGGCAACTCATTTGAATATGAAAAGGTGTTGAGGAGCTGGG